TTCCTGGCTATAGGGTCTCGCCCGTCCACTCAGGGGCAGACCGATCACTGTATTTGGGGTCAGGAAGGAATTTTACCCCATGGTCATAATGGTACAGACTATGGGGGGGTTGCCTTCCTCTGTAGCAGGGGGCATGGCCCTCTACCTGGGCTCTTTTGAGCATACATTAACAACCTTTTCTAGAAGCAGGATGCTGGCTGCCGCGGTCCCCCTGCTTTACCTGTGGCAGGTTAGGGTGTGACGTCTTGTGTTGTGCCAAGTTTTACGAAGAGCTTAGATTATGGATTTGTAGAGGACGGTTTGGAGAGTGCTGATCCTGCCTCAGGCAGGGCGTTGGACTAGATGACCTCTGGAGGTCTTTTCCAGTCCTACTTTTCTAGGGTGCTGTGCTTCTGTTGTAGTCTCTCTGAGTTCTTTGCAACAGAAGAATTGATCTAGTATTTTTCTGCACTCAAAAAAAAGGTGAAAACTAGGAGCTACATTTTCTAATGCAGTGCTTTGACTCTATTGAGGGGGTGCCTCAAGTCTGAAAAGGCAGAGAATTACTGCCCTAATATGAGCTAGCACATGGCTAACTCACGAGGTAGGGCAGATGCGGGGGCAAAGATAAAGAGAAGGGGGAGAGGAGGACAGATGATCTCAGGCCACTGTTTGCTCAGGAAGCCACCACATAGCTATAAATTTGCACCCTCCGTGTGGCCCGCACATCTACTGTGGGGTAGAGCCCCTTCTTGTCCCCAGCGGGGAGGTCTCACCTCAGGGGGACCGCTTCAGGATTTCGCCTCACTTCAGCAAAACTTATCTACACTGCTGAGCACACTCATCATTTTGCTGTTAGCAGGGAGTGCTCACTAATTCAAGTGAGGGAACCCGACTTGGCAAACTGGCTTCTAGCACCAGCTCTGCCACTGACTTGTGTCATGTCAGTCAAGTCATTTAAGACCGTTGTCAATTTTCAGTTTTCCTCAATTTCCCTCTCCCAAACACATATGCCTGTAAAAAAGGAACAGTGAAACGTGCCCACAGTTATAAGGCATGTTAAGAGCCTCAGGTGAAAAGATGCTATAGAAGAATAAATTATACCTCTGTCAAATGAAACTAAAGATGAACTAGCGGCTGAGCTGCCTTAAACTCTCACAGCACATTTGGCAGGTGCAGGAGCATTTTAAATCATCTTAGATAATCTCACGCTGCTGGTCTGAGGGTCTGTGCTATGCTGTCTGCAATGTCCGTGCATGCACAAGTGAGAATTTAGGGCCGTCTGACTCGTCTTCATCCTTTCTCTTAGGACTACAGGAATTGCCCCCCTGCAGCACACCAGCGACTCCATCCAGCTCAGTATCCTGTTTTGGCTTCTGAGGAAGAAATCCTGCAGTAGTGGGGAGACAGAAGACCTGGCCTCCAAGAGCTTCCCTCTGATCCCCAGTTTATCCCCTGGAGCATGAAGGTGTCTGCTTCTTCCAAAGCTCTTTCAAAACATATTCACTCTTATAACTCTGGCTACCCATGCTGCCCATGTAAAGGCTTTATTCCTTTTCCCTCGGATACCCTGAGCATGTTTTAATCTAGTAGCACCCAACTTCCTGGCCACATGAGCCGAACAAGTGGTGGAGGGTCAGCCCATGGCCTGGATCCCACATGGGGTTGGTCTGCTGGCCCAATCAGGCTGCATATCAACCCTATCTGGTCTCACACCGTACACGACTCACCTACTGGATCCAGCCACCTCCCTGATCCAGCCCTGTACCACTCTGATCCAACCCTGCACCAGCCATAAGCTGGCATGATCTGGCACACAAGGCCACATTATCTAGCCCGTGGGTTTCCCCGCTGGTCCAGAAATTTGGCAGCAGGGAGGCAGCAATTAGCAGTGCCACTGCCAATGCTCCCTTGGCACCAACTTTCCATACCCGTAGGGAACCCAGTGGGCTGAATGATACAGCTCCGCAGGTTGGATCTGGCCCATAGGCTGAAGGTTGAGCTCCCCCATTTTAACCTTGTGAATTCCCTGCCACTGCATGAGGAGAGACCCTGTCAGTCCTGCTCTTTGCCTGCAGTGTTTGCATGGTTTATTTTCTATGAGGTGCTCTCTAGTTGTGATGCACAGAAAAGGCCCAGAGCAAATAATCCTGGAGATCCTTTGACCAACCATTGCCTGTGACCCCAAGGAACCAGAAGCCCCTTCCAGTGCTCCATAAGAGAGTACAAAGCAGCAAACATGTAGGGCGGGTGTGACAGCATTAAATCCACCCCTGCACTGTATGATTGGGGGCCTCCTATGAACCAAGGTGGGGGGGTGCAATCTCCAATGCTTTCCACATATAGCCCACCTCTTAACAGGCAGGTTGTTTAGTCAACATCTCCCTTCCCAGGCAGGTGCGGCCCACTGGGGCCCCCATTCATAACCACACATACCACCCCCTCTACCACTGGCTGCTAAATACTGTTGGCAGCTGGGGCAATGGACACCAAGAAACAGGAACAGTGGAAAAAATACACTTTTCCTCTATGAAAAGTGTATTCTCAGCTTCTCTCAAAACAGCTGGTAATGAGCCAGGAACAAGCGACTACCCAGTTCTCTGCCAACCAATTTATTGAAGGAATTGCAAACTGGGCACCCAAAAGGGAAAGGCCCCAATTCAAAACCTGGAGATCTTTACAGCCATAAAGGCCATGTTCAAAGTCTGAGCTCCATGTGAGGAGGTCTGCAAACAGCCTGCAGGAAGAGTCCCAACAAGTGCAATCTCATTCATCTCTGTAACATATTAATGCCTGTCATTAAGTGTGGCAGTGATCAAACCAAGGGACATTGCAATTTGTTGTGAGCTCAGTCACAAGCAAAGTTCTTATCCCTTATCTATCCCCACAGTCGAAACAGGAGTGGATATTTTACATCAGGGGCAGCCAAGCCATAGCATGCATGATACAAGTGACACAGGCAGCCTGTGTGCACCACACGGCAAACCAGGGAGAGGGCAAGCATTAACTTATGCAGGGAGCAAAAAGCAGAGCAGCGGATTGGGCAGGGAAGGGAATCAGAGTGGCACTCAGAATGGGTACAGGGCTTAATTTGTGGCACGCTTGCCAAAAAGGCTGTTGCCACTGCTTTACATAATACATCAGGACACACAGGCCTCTGATCAGCACTTAAACCTGGCAGGACGTAATGCCGAAATGAGCCTTTCTGCAGTCGACAGTCCAAACGATCACTAGAACATGAACTGATTACCTGACTGTGCTCCAGAAATGCAAAGAGCCACTGGAGCTTTGTCATCAGGGGCTGTGCATTGCTTTCCGTTAAATTCAGCACCGAATGTCTAAAGCTGTAAAACCAGAGACAGGAGAGAATTACTCCTAGGGGAAGCACAATCTGGGCCACACCACTTTCATCAGGGAGGAAAGAAACTTACTCTGAGGCCATGAAAAGGGACTGGATGATGCTGTTCATGTAGCAGGTGTTCCCCAGGTTAATTAAGCCAATCTTTCCCGTTTCTGACTTAGAAGCTAGGCGTGGATAGAAACAGGCCAGCTCATTCTTCTGGGAGGTCCAAGCGTTCTGCCCCAGTAAATGTTTAATTCGGTCCTCATTGGGAATCGGGAGAGCCTTAGAAATAACCAAAGATGCTGCATCAGCCCCCAATTCATTTTGCATGCTGTGACAGAACTATGAACTCCTCAGTTAGAGCCTCAGAGAGCTGTTCTTCCCCTTGGCAAGCCAAGAGAGACCAATCGAGTATGTGTACGTGTCATACACACAATGGTGTTAGGTGTTGTCCAGACACATTAAAGAAAGTCCCTGCCTCAAAGCTGGACCCAAATGGGATCCAGTTTCATAATCTGAACCACTCTCTGCCCCCAGAGCGAGAGCTGTCCTCACAAGGGGTCGCACTCCAGACTCCTCTAACGGTGAGAAGGTCTGTCTGCTACTAAACAGCAAACACCGATTCCTCCTCTCCACCCACGCAGCATGTAACATGTGGTTCAGAGACCCAGTATCGAGCTGCCTGCCTTACTTTGACTGCCTCCAGGACTGGTTCGTAGAGATCTGGAAATCCCGAAAACCGGAAGAACATGCAGTGGATCAGCTCGGCCAGCTGTTCCAGGCAGCTCGTTGCAGAGTTCGAATCTTCCTTCTTCAGAGATGCCACCAGCCGGGGGACGTGAGGAAGCAGCTGAAAGAGCAAAGTGCACTCATTTAGCAATGGCTCATGCTAGTTGTGCTTCTGTGGCTCACACAGCACCACAGGGTTGAAGTATGTGGGTGAAAGTCACCCCCCGCAGAAGGCTAAGACACGAGGTTCATGCGTCACTTTTATGGCCTGATCCTACAGCAAAATTCCCATCGACTTCAAAGTCCCATTGATTTATGGCTTCTTTTGATGTTCAGATAGGCCTTACACATGGCATAGGGTCTCGCACTAGCTTTTGCACAGGGAAAATTTCATCCTTTGTGCAGACTGGCCTCTGCCACCTATAAATACGCCCCTGCACTTGTTAGGGAGTGGGGTGTCTCTGGCTGAAACAGAGCACTAAGTAGCTTCCTCTTGAAGTAGGAGATGCAATTTTCTGGCTGAACCAATCTTGACACATCTGATTTGTATAATTTTATCTCATTTTGTATAAATGACAGCAGTGTTGTTGCCATCAGATGGGTAGGGACAGATATGCCCATACAGCTTTTCAAATTAACTCTTTATCTCAAATAAAAAAAAAAAAAAAAAAGGAACAAAAAAAAAAAAC